TACAGAAACCCTGTCTCAAAAACAAAACAAAACAAGAACAAAAAATTCTTGTTGAGATAACTGACTCTGAAGTTATCTTCTGATTGCCAGGCATACAATGTGGCACATGCACCCACACAAAAAAGGAAAAAAAATTTAAACTATGTTTTAGGATTGAAAATGAAGTCCAATGATAGCATATTAAGTGTAAGCACTTGGGTTTACACTCCAGTAACTGCAAAATAACAACAACAATAGTTATAAAAAGCTAAGTAAAAACCTGATATTTTACAAAAAGTATTACAATATTGAAATGATTGGAATTTTCTTAACAGTAATCTGTTCAAAGGTCAGACATGGTGGCTCCTTCACGCTATAATCTCAGCACTTGCTAAAGCAGGAGAAACTGACAGGGGTTGTCAGGACAGCCTTGGCCATAAAAGGCAGGCTGCTGGGGAAAAAAATGATGGTCACTCTCTTCATTCAGTTGAGGATCAAGAAACAGTGAAGAACTTATTAAACTACTCCTGCATATTTGTAATTTTCTGTAAAATTTAGAAAAATAATCTCTCCAACATACAAATTTTCAGAAAAGCATGGTGGCCACCACTTGTAATTCCAGCACTCAGAAGGCTAAGGCTGGAGAACCTGGAGAATTCAAGTCCAGTCTCATCTACATAACTCGACTGCCTCTCCCACTTCCCAAATAAAACAGGGTTGGGGAGATAGTCCAATTGGTAGAGTCAGAACATCCTGAGTTTGATCACTGGAACTGCATAAGTCAGGCCTCATAGCACACACTTGTAATCCCAGCACTTGGGAAGCCCAAGCCAAGAGATCAGAGTCCAAGGCTATCCTTAGGTACACAATGAATCTGACACAATCCTCGGCTTTAGGAGATACCAATTTAAAGAAAACAAAAACATACCTATTTATGCAAAATGGTCACCTTCTGAGTATCAGAAGGTGTTTTCTCTAAAACACAGATCTTCATGAGACAGGCATATATAATCAAAGAACTTGGATGGCTGAAGCAGGAAGATCCAAATTGGAGATCCTGGCTCAAAATTAAAATATAAAAACACACTAAAATAAAGCATAAATCCTGTTCTTCAGAATACTTGAAAAATGCCCTTACTCTGGAAATTTTAAACTATTACTTTGGATAGATCCTTAAAGAAAATGAGTAGGACATGACTGCTTAATGCTCAGTTTTTACCTGGGTAAATTCTCTTGAGATTATGTGTAATAAATCAATTTATCTAGAGAAAGAACTGGCTGAGGGCTGAAGATGTAACTCAGTTGTTGGTTTGCCCTGGACTCTATCCCCAAGTCAGCAACTGGGGGTAGTTGTACAGGCCTGCAATCCTAGTATTCAAGGTAAAAGCAAGGGGATCAGGATTCAAGGTCACAGAATTCAACTGGCTACACAAGGGCCAGGTTAGGGCCACATGAAATCCTGACTAAAAAAACTAAACATACAGAGATAAAAACAAAACAAATGCTTGAGAGAGTTGAACACAGTCAGAAGCTTCCTCTAAAAATCTGTATATCTTTTGAATAAACCTAAGTTGTAACTTGTTCAATGGGAATGTAGGCAATCCAGTAAAATGGTTTTAAAGCTGTGTTGTCCCTGCTTCCATTAAGTGCTCAATCCTGTGTCTACATTCTGCACATCATTCCAGTCATACACAAAGTAAAACATTCTCTCCAGACCTCTGTGTATCAGAATAGTAAGAAAGGTTCAAGTAAATAATGCCAGAAATGTATGCTCCACTTATTTATATACATACATAGATGTGTATCTGCCTGCCTGTCTGAGTGTGTATGTACGTGTCTACAAGAACAGACTCCAGATGCAAAGCCACAGGGATTGTGACAGGAGCTCTAGGAATCTAACTCTGGTCCTCAGGAAGAGGCTGCTATTCTTAACCTCTGCACCATTTCTAGTCACTTCTCACCTTTTTACTGGGAAAAACTCTATCCTTTAAGAGGTCTGCAACTTAAGTCCATTTTTGCCACCACAAAATAGCTTCTGAAAAGGAGAGTCAATCAGAGCGAGTAACTAAATAAACAACATTAAACTGGCAATTTATAATGGTCACTTTATCCTGACATAAAATGAATAATGCTTTCTAAAGTTTTGTTATAGAACTCTTCACTCAACTGCCAAAGTTGGTCCTAAACTCCTGGAATCAAGAGATTCTCCCCCAACTTCCCCAAAGTACTGAAACTACAGGCACTGGTCATCTCAGCATTTTTTTAAAACTCGGATATTTTTTTAAAAATTCACACATTGAATTGTTTAAGGACTACAATTACTTGGTTTCATGAAAATTAAACCTTGTTTGCATACCCTCACAAAAAGATTAAATGCTGAAAGCAGACAGTGGTTGTGCATGCCTTTAATCCCAGTGCTTGGGAGGCAGAGACAGGTGGATCTCAGTGAGTTTGAGGCCAGCCTGGTCTACAGAGTGAGTGCCAGGACAGGCTCCAAAAACAAAAACAAAAACCATGATCTTAAAAAAAAAAAAAAACCACAAAATTCATAGTAAATAAATACTACAGAAAATACTTATCTTTCTGGCCTTAGGAAATAATAAAATGTGGCACAAAATAAATCTCATTTAGCAGCCTAAATATGTTCATAGGATTAAAAAAAAAGTAAAGATCACTGAAAACTAATATTTATTATTAAATACCTATCAATATTTAGGTGACCCTGCTTAAGGCTCATTTAAAATACATATTCTCATGGTGTTGCACTCCTTTGATCCCAGCACTTACAAAGCAGAGCTAGGCAGATTTCTATGAGGTTGAACACCAGCCTGGTCTACACAGTAAGTTCTAAGACATACAGGGCTACCCAGGGAGACCCTATCTCAAAACAAAACAAACAAAAATAACAAAGTAACTATGTAATGCAGGTCTCATTATGACTATTTACATATTGAGAAAGTATAACTTGCTTATGGCCACAAATCTAGAAAATGCCAAGGTAACATTATAATCAGTATAATTTTAAAAGCCAGGAGTCAAACTATTCTTATACTGTATCATGAGAATGGAAATAAACATTTCAACACCTTACTTTAAGTCTCTAAAATTTAGCGCTAAGACTTAGACTTATAACAGCTCTCAACTGTTTCTTTGAGGTCTCTTTGGGGGTCGCATTACCCTTTTACAGGGGTTGCATAGCAAATATTCACATTGTAACTCATAACAGTAGCAAAATTGCAATTATGAAATAGCAACAAAAATAATGTTATGACTGGGGGTCACCACACATGAGGACATGTTAAAAACAACATGTTAAAGGGTCACAACATTAGGAAGGTTAAGAAACAATGTGAGTGATGAGAATTATTAACATCAGGCTCAACACCATCTAGATGCCACAATCCCAGATAGATACTACATGGCATCATAACAGACAAACTTAAACAACTTTCTGGAACTTATTTCCAATTCCTCTCATTTCCCCAGCCCTCCTGTTTTGAACTTACTCCCATTCCTTTTTCTAACTTCTTTCTTTATTTACGTCTTAACTTCCACTTCCTAGAAAAAGTGAAAAATCAAAACTGAAAATCTGCTGTTGTGTGGTAACAGAAGGTTGGTAACAAATTATCCCCAAGTGCAATACACACAACAGGTAAACACAAATGCAAGTGGCTACTCAATAAAACTATTAGTCATTATTAACTTCAATGTATGCAGACCTCACCTCTTTCCTCAAACTCAGGCTGTCTGGTAAAGTGGACACACACTCGACAAAAGTCAGAGACAAGACATAAAAATCCAAACACTACTATTAAATTCACAATGACTACCGAGCTCAAAATTCTGAACACCAGCAGGATTTACAAAGTACTAGATTAATCAAAGGACGAAAAAGCATTTTCCAGTCCATACAAAACTTTATCTGCACAAATATCGGAAGACTTTGAAAACTTCAATAGTGGCCGGGCAGTACTGGCACACACCTTTAATCCCAGCACTCGGGAGGCAGAGGCAGGCGATCTGTGAGTTCGAGGCCAGCCTGGTCTACAAGAGATAGTTCCAGGACAGCCAGGGCTACACAGAGAAACTCTGTCTTGAAAAAAAAAAGAAAGAAAAAAAGAAAAAGAAAACTTCACTAGTATACAGTTATGGAGCTGAGACTTTCTAACTTTTTTTTTAATGAACACAGAATATAATGACATCTAAAGCTGTAGGATGAGCCGTGGGAATTTTCAAAAACAATGAAGGTTAACAGGATTCGAACTTACAAGACAAAGAAAAACAAAACCACTGGCCCCTGGTCTACTTCAACTACCAAATCTTGGGTGTTTTTCAAGGCCTATCCCTGTGCAGATGAATTCCTGTTACCTTTCCCTTTTCCACAGTGCCCAGTTCTGGCCTAGGTTTCTGTCCACTTGCCTGCTGGTTAACTCGGCGCTGGGGTCATCCTTCTTACTGCAGGATGGGGGAAGGGAGAGCTAAAAGTTGTTTTACTGTTCCAATTCTAGTTTAGGAAAAACCAAGCTCTTTTTTGCATCCAACCGCTGTAACGAGCCACCGACCCTAACTAAGGAGCCGATCTAAGTTACTGACACCTGGGAGCCGCGAATCGGGCAAGGCAGGCGGCTCTCCCTACTTTCCATATGGGACAAACATTGCAACCGAGTTTCCAATCTGCTCGGCTCGTTCCGGTGAGAGGTTCTGGACTGCGAAGCTTGCACGTGGGCCGACCCGACTGCTGCTGTCACTTCTCGTCGCCAGTTAGGATCCAGGCCGGGGAGCGGACCCCCGGTGATGGGCTGGGACTCGGACTGCCACCACCCTCGGCAGAGTCCGGCCGGACACGCCGCCGCCCGCTGCCCACATGGCCGGCCGGCCGAGGGAACCAGGGCACGGCTGGGCCAACGCTCACGCGGGACCCACGGCCCGCAGGCCCGGGCGGCGCCTCGGGGCCCCCCGATCTGCCCGCCAGCCCGCAGCCGGCGCCTGCCGAGCGGCCTGGCGCCCCGGCCCGCACCTACCTTCACGTCCTCGTCCTCGTCCTCGCCCTCCCAGCGGTCCCCTCCGGCCGTGCCGCCGCCCGCGACCTTCCGCATCGGGTCCTCCATAGAGAACGTGTCGGCGTCTACGGAAGAGAGGGAGTCGCGTTAGTCCACGCGTGGGAGCGAGGCCATCACGGCCCGCACTCGGGCCGGAACTTCTGCTCACCCCAAGAGTCTGAGTCGCCGGCCGCCGCCGTCGCCGCCGCCATCTCGAGTCGGGATGAGCGTGCGTGAAGGGAAGAGCTGCGAAGAGTTAGCGCGGCAGAGGTGAGTCACCCGGCTGGTTCTCGTTGGCCCGCGCAGGGCAGGCTGGGACCGTGGCTGACTGGGCGCCCGGCCGAGGCCCCGCCCCTTCGGGCGACGCGCGCGGCGGGCGGGGCAGGGCGGGGCGGGGCGGGGCGACGCTTGGCTGGGAGACGCCAGCCCCAGCCGGGGGCCCCTGGAAGGAAAGCAAGTGCGCACGCGTGGGTCGGGCGGTGCTCGCCCGTCTGCTGCAGATCGCCGGCTGCGAAAGGACTGGGAGCGGCGTGGAGCGTCGGGTGGAGGCAGCAGATGGGGCGTCCTCCTGCAGTCTTCCAGCGTGCGGGTCGGGAGATCGAAGTTGACCCCAATCTCTCGGGGTTTCCCCTTTCCGTGAGCCTCCGGAGGCCGGCACGGTGATTCTTTAACGAAAACATTTCGGAATTCCGTGGTGTGTGCCAGGCATATGCTCTAGTTTGTTCTCAACCCAGTAGCAAAATAGTTATGTAAACACATTTCGACATAGAGCTCTGGCTGCAACAAAAAGAAGCATTATGAGGTTAGATGTAAAAAGGTAGCATTAACGACGGCGGAGGATGCAGTTTCCTGTCTGCGGTAGGCTGCCTGCGGTAGGCGCTGGTGAAGTTCGTGTTTGAGAAACCACGTGACTCCTCGGGTGCATTTAAAAGGCTTGTGGCTCTCACCTGAAAGAGTGCAATCGAATAGGTAAATTGATAAAGAACCTAAAAAGGAGCATTTTTTTTCCCCATTTGGCACTGGACTTCCATTGTAAGGACATTAAGGGACGAGCTAGTTTAGATATTTTGTTGTTTATTTTCCGATATATTCAGGGTTTTTTTGTTTTGTTTTGTTTTTCGAGACAGGGTTTCTCTGTAGCTTTTGGAGCCTGTTCTGGAACTCACAGACATCCGCCTGCCCCTGCCTCCCAAGTGCTGGGATTAAAGGCGTGCGCCACCACTGTCTGGCTATATTCATAGTTTTAAAAATCTTTTTAAAAAATATACAGTAACCAGCCATTCTCATTAGTTTCCATTTCTTGCATATTTTTGGTCTAAAAATAAATATTTCATAAGGTGGACTTTCAAGAAGTGTTGTACAGCATTATTAAATCGTGAGGCGACAGTCTATAAACACCGCATCTATTTGTTTTTTTTTTGTTTTGTTTTGTTTTGTTTTTTGGGGGGATTTCTCGAGACAGGGTTTCTCTGTAGCTTTTGGTTCCTGTCCTGGAACTAGCTCTTGTAGACCAGGCTGGCCTCGAACTCACAGAGATCCGCCTGCCTCGGCCTCCCGAGTGCTGGGATTAAAGGCGTGCGCCACCACCGCCTGGCCACCGCATCTATTTGTAAAGGTGGATTAAAAATTAAGCAAAGGAGAGGGCAACAAAGAAGAGGACACAGTCATTCACAAATTTTATCTTCAACACTTGGCAAAGTCTCTAATACATAAGTATTACTTATTTGCTGTACTAAGGATAAAACCAGGAGCCTCTGCAAGCCTTGCACTACCACGGAGCTATGCAACCCCTAACCTCAGTGAATTAGTTCAGTGAGAAGAATTCAAGCCGTAATTTAGTTAAAGTAAGACCCTCAAGAAGGAAGACTTGTGCCTCCAGATCTCCCTTGGGTCTTAATCCTACTTGCCTGCCCTGAAGATTTTGAAGTTGTGTGATCTAAATTTCTTAAATTCTCTTTTTATACACGCATCCCATTGATCTGTGTCTTCAGAGAGCTCTAATATGGTGATTGAATTTATTGAAGTTCCGAGTAAGAAAGGTTATGTTTTAGGAGACTGAGTGATGGTGCATATCAAAACCTGAGAGCTAACCTTTACTTCTTGCCCTCTCTGTCCCCCCAGGACTCCATTTGCTACCCACTTTTGTAGCTCTGCTTTCATTACTGAAATTGAAAAATTACCACTACCCGAATCAGAGAGTTTTATAACTTCAAACTGGTGTTCCCTCTTCATCTCTTTCTACACAGTCCATTCCACGCACAACAGTTTGCTTGCTTAAAAAAGTGATTTATGCCAGGTTGTGGTATAATGTCCCACTGACCTGGCACCGGAGGGATAGCAAGCAACCTCTACTAGCCATGAAACCCTGTTGGGTTATACCTGGCCTGGCTCTGGAGTTTTCACACACCCCCTTGGCCTTCCTTTGTTACAAATAATTGCTGGCCAGTGTGGTGCTCAGACCTTTAATCCCAGCACTCAGGAGGCAGAGGCAGGTGGATCTCTGTGAGTTTGAAAACAGCCTGGTCTACAAGAGCTGGTTCCAGGACAGGCTCCAAAGCTACAGAGAAACTCTGTCTCAACAAATATCTTTTGCTGCCCTATGTTAATCTTAACTGAGAGTTTCCCACGAATACAAAGCCTATGCAAAACTTGGTTTCAAGGAAACCCAGACAACCCTGGTACTTCATGAATCAGCTATGTGTACCTGGCATTGTATTGTCAGAAGCTTCTATCAGTTTGTTTTGAGATATGGAATTCTACTAGCTAAAGTATAAATATAGGAAAAATAAAGATGCTGGGAGGCAAAGGGAAGGCTTCAGTTCACCAAGACTGAGCCCCCTGCAGGCACAGAGGCTGAGTTCATTCTCAATGTGACTCTGAGTCTTAAAATCCTATAAAGTGTTGGGCCCAGTCCATAGTTACCCCAAAAGACTTGCCAGAGAGGCTGACTCACTGAAATGCAAAAGCAAGGTTTATTATGTGCACAATACAAGCTGGCAGGGACTTTGTCAATGCAAGTGATGCAGCAGCAGCAAGAGGAGGTCCCCCGCCCTTCTAGAGGCCATTATTTAAAGGAAAAAGCCAAAAAAGTTACATTAGCAGGGTGTGGGGTGACAGGTTCAATCCTGGATGTCTTATGTCTAGGGACTTTTCTCAAATTTTATTTCCAAACCTTGCCTGTTGCTTGTCAATCTTTCATATCAGCTGACCTTCAGGTGGGGACATTCTGTGGTTATCTGCACTTTCCAGATGGCTACCCTGTCACTTTTGCCCCCAGCCATTGCTGAGGACTAGGTTTTACCAGAAATAGCATAAGCAAGACACAGATGGAGGTGGAGGACAAAATGGAGGAACTTTGGTTCTTCATAGAGATTGTTTTAATGCTTTTAAAGATGGTTTATGTATAAAAGATTATGCAGATAAAAACTGGTTATAGAATTGCTCAATTATTGTTGCCCCCATATCTTAAAGGTAAAACAGCTCCAATTATGAAGTAAAAGGTTTTAAATCACTGGGGAAAAAGTGTTTTGGTAAACTGTTATTAATTCTGAGAGGCCAAGTTAAAATTGCAAATAAATAACAATAAGATTGAGGCCTATTAAATGCAAAGTTGACATCTGTAATTTTTCAAAATCCTAAAATCTGAATTGACCTATTCGAGAGGTCTCCACTCAACTTTTGGACAATAAAATCTTAGGTGGAAAAAAATGTAAAATGGATTAAACATATAGAACCTGAAAGACAGAAAAGGATATTAAAGTCTATGTAGATAAAACAGTGGCCCTTAACTTAAGAAAAAAATGATTGAGGAACTTGTAATAGCACAGTTAGATGCTAAGCACATTGAAGAAACTACCAGTCCTTAAAATTCTCCTATGGTTTGTAATAAAACAGAATCTCAAAAATGGAAAAAATGGAAAATGTTAACCAATCTAAGAGCTATTAATAAGATAATTCAATCTATGGGATCTTTATTGCTTAAAATTCCTTTACACAAACAAAATAGAAAAAAATGTCTTCGTGCTGCCTACTTACAATAATGCCTAGTCCATAAAGAGATAGCAATAAAAGTACTTTCTTAGATTGTTAAATAGCGCAGCTTTGTGTCAATATTTTACAAATTAACCACTGGTCCCAGCACTCGGGAGGCAGAGGCAGGCGGATCTTTGTGAGTTCAAGGCTAGCCTGGTCTACAAGAGCTAGTTCCAGGACAGGCTCCAAAGCTACAGAGAAACCCTGTCTCGAAAAACAAAACAAAAAACAAAAAAACAAAACAAAATTAACCACTGGAAGTGGTATGTAAACAATTTCTTCAGTCTATTGTTTATCATTGTAAGGATGATATTTTCTTGGCTGCTTCTGATACAGAAACCTTGGAATGAATGTTTGATGCAATACAGAAAAATTTACCCATTGAAAATTACTACGAAGAGGAGATTCTTAACTATTTACGATTTAAAGTAAGTAAACAGAAATTCAGCTGCAAAAGTACAGATTAGAAAAACTCTAACAAGAGATGCTTGTTAAACAGAGGGGAATATAAGGATGCCCCAGAGATAGAATACATAATGCTTTACTTACTAACTTCTAATTTTAAAAAAAATTAAATGCTAATGAAAAAGGGATAGCAGCAGCTAAAAGACATTGGATTATGGGGGAAAGCTGCTGAATTAGGTTAGTCCATGTAAACCCAGGGAAAGTGTTAAGTCAGGGCTGAGGTTATGCTCATGTTTCCACAGGAAATAAAAGATTGCATATCCCATCAAAACTGATAAAAATCTAGCACAGCCAAGAGGAATGCTTCAGCTGCTGAGATGCCTCTGGGAAGCCAAGGCCTTTGGAGCAGACAGTGTTTCCTACCACCTGGGGACAATTTAAGAGTTTGTGTGACAGAGGGGAGGCGAATGACTCAGAATACTACAGATCTGTTCCTCGTTATACTTATTTGTGGTAATTAGACAGATGACTGGGACAAACTTTACATACTGGGCTTTTTGTTTTGTTTTGTTTTTTTGTTTTTCGAGACATGGTTTCTCTGTGGCTTTGGAGCCTGTCCTGGAAACTAGCTCTTGTAGACCAGGCTGGCCTCAAACTCACAGAGATCCGCCTGCCTCTGCCTCCCAAGTGCTGGCATTAAAGGTGTGCACCACCACTGCCCAGCAGCTCTTACATCTTGAAATTTTTTTTATTTTTTTAAATATTTATTTATTTATTATACAATATTCTGTCTGCTTGTATGCCTGCAGGCCAGAAGAGGGCACCAGACCTCATTACAGATGGTTGTGAGCCACCATGTGGTTGCTAGGAATTGAACTCAGGACCTTTGGAAGAGCAGGCAGTGCTCTTAACCACTGAGCCATCTCTCCAGCCCCTTACATCTTGAATTAACCCATTTCTATTAATCTGTGTATCACCACAAGGCTACTGCCTACCAGTAAGAATCCAGCATGTCCTTCTACTTTGGCAGCTACATGTCATCTCTGTGACTCCATCTACCCTTTCTATATCTCTTCCAGCCTGGCTATATTCTGCCCTGCTATAGTCTGAAGCAGCTTCTTTATCTTTATTTTCTTTAATTTAAGCAGTGGTAACAAAACAAATTCACAGCATACAGAAGGGAATCCCACATCAAGACTGGTTATCGCAATTGATTTGAGGATCATCATATTGACAACTACAGCAGCAATAGCTGTAATGATGCTTCATAAAGAAATCAAAATTAGCTTTCGGCCGCGGTAGCCATCATTCAGTAACTCGCCAAGATGACAAACACAAAGGGAAAGAGGAGGGGCACTCGCTATATGTTCTCTAGGCCCTTTAGGAAACATGGAGTTGTTCCTTTGGCCACGTACATGCGAATCTACAAGAAGGGCGATATTGTAGACATCAAGGGAATGGGCACTGTTCAAAAAGGAATGCCCCATAAATGTTACCATGGCAAAACCGGAAGAGTCTACAATGTCACCCAGCATGCTGTGGGCATCATTGTAAACAAGCAAGTTAAGGGTAAGATTCTTGCCAAGAGAATTAATGTTTGGATTGAACACATCAAGCACTCGAAGAGCAGAGACAGCTTCCTGAAGCGGGTGAAGGAGAATGACCAGAAGAAAAAGGAAGCCAAAGAGAAGGGCACCTGGGTTCAGCTGAAGCGCCAGCCTGCTCCACCCAGAGAAGCACACTTCATGAGAACTAACGGAAAGGAGCCTGAGCTGCTGGAGCCCATTCCCTACGAATTCATGGCCTGATGTACAAAAAGAAATAAAAGACCTGGACTATAAAAAAAAAAAGAAAAGAAATCAAAATTAGCCAGGCAGTGTTGGCGCATGCCTTTAATCCCAGCACTCAGGAGACAGAGGCAGGCGGATCTCTGTGAGTTCGAGGTCAGCCTGGTCTACAAGAGATAGTTTCAGGACAGGCTCCAAAAGCTACATAGAAACCCTGTCTCGAAAAACCAAGAAAAAGAAAAAGGAAAAGAAATCAAAACTACTGAATTCATTAGAGACTGGCATAAATATTCATCAGAACTATGAACTGAAAAAAATAAAATTGATAATGAGATAGTGAGTGAATTAGCTGAGTTAAGACAAGCTGTTATATTGTTAGGGGTTCAGTTAGAAATTTTTAAGGAGCAGATGAGATTAAAATGTGATTGGAATGTTTCTTCTTATTGTATTATACTCTTAAGATTTAATGAAAGCAAATATGATCGGGATAAGGTTAAGACTTATTTGATGGTGTTAGGTATTTCTCAAGATGAGCCTCTCCACCAACGCAAATAATTCCAGTCGAACAGAATTAAACTGAATTAAAAGATGCCCATGTTGGGCTGGAGAGATGGCTCAGCGGTTAAGAGCATTGCCTGCTCTTCCAAAGGTCCTGAGTTCAATTCCTAGCAACCACATGGTGGCTGACAACCATCTGTAATGAGGTCTGGTGCCCTCTTCAGGCCTGCACACAGACAGAATATTGTATACATAATAAATAAATGAATATTTAAAAAAACACTCTGTATTATGAAAAAAAAAAAAGATGCCCATGTTTAGTGGAAAGCTCCTGGGTGGCACCAGGAAAGCATGAAGAGGGGAAGAGAGGAAAGGGGAGACCACACAAAACCCAGAGACCATTTGTTCATTCTCTGGGGAGCAGTTTAAATAGCTTGTGGGAGTGGTCTTCACACTCCCTGGGGAGGGGTCTTATTCCAGGAGCCACGTGAAGCTCCCAGCCAAACAATCTGGACTTTTTGTAGACAGGGGTGTTAGGGAGCTGGGGTGATGCTTTCAACCAAACAGATGGGTCACACTAATTCTTCTCAAATGGTCTATGATTTACAGAAAGAAATCAGGAAGACTTATACAAAAAAAAAAAATACCTGATATGACAGGAATAGATATTATGGAAATTCTTCTAGATACCATAGCTTCATTCAACCCTATGAATCATCTTATCAGAATTCTTATTGGAGCAGGTGTTGCTCTTGTTCTATCAATAATGTTTTAAGATGTGTTTTGGCCTACTTATATAAAATTGTAAGTCAGATAGATAGAAAAAAAGCTGTATAATCTTCGAAAATTAAATTTTGAAGAAAGGAAGAAGGGGAGATCTGGGGTATAATGTCCCTCTTACCTGGTGCCAGAGGGATAGCAAGTAACCCCCACTAGCCATGAAGTCTATACTTGACCTGGCTCAGGAGTTTTCACACAGCCTCTAGGCCTTCCTTTGTGTTACAAATACCTTCTGAATACCTATGTGAATCATAACTGAGAGTTTCCCATGGATACAAAGCCTATGCAAAACTTCCCTTAGAGGGCAGGAGAGATGGCTCAGAGGTTAAGAGCACTGCCTGCTCTTCCAGAGGTCCTGAGTTCAATTCCCAGCAACCACATGGTGGCTCATAATCATAATAAAGGGTGGACCATAATGAGATATGGTCCCCTCTTCTGGCCTGCATGGATAAATGCAGGCAGAACACTATATACATAATAAATAAATCTTTAAAAAAAATTTGGTTTAGAGAAGACCCAGAAAAGCCTGGTACCTCATAAACCAAGTATTTGCACCTGGCATTGTATTGTCAGAAGCTTTAATCAGTTTGGCTGCTTTTGGTTGCATTTTTAGGGGAAAAGGGGGAATTTCAAAACAAGGTTTCTCTCTCGTGCTGCCACATGTCTCCCTGCCCAGGACCATCCACTTTCGGAGACCTGCAGCGTGGCCTCATGGCATGCCCATCTGTCTGTCTCTCCTCGTGGCCTGCTGCAGCCACTAGGGGAACCATGCTATCCCTGCCTGGGACTGGCTGCTCTCAGAACCGCTGTTCACTGCCCACTGCTGCTGCTCAGTGACCTGCAGCGTTTCTGCCACTGCAGCCACTGGGGATCCTGCAGCATTTTTAATTAATCCATTACAGCCAGCCTGGGCTACAAAGTAAGTGCCAGGACAGCCAGGGCTACACAGAAACCCTGTTTTGAAACAAACAAACAAAACAAATGACAAAAAAAATTAATTTTTACCAGTTGTGGTGATCCAGGCCTGTCTCCCAGCAATCTTGATGCAGAGGCCAAAAGAGCTCAAGTTTCAGCTCAACCTGGGCTACATATCAAGACACTGTCTGAAGGAATACATAGTAAATAACATTGCTTCCTTCCAAGTAAAATCTCTTCAATGACTTCTTATTTATTTTTAGAAAAGCATCCACTTCTTGGCCTGGGAACGTAGCTTAGTTGGCAGAGTGCTTGCCCAGCATGCACAAGGCCCCGAGTTCCATCCCCAACACCACATAAATGATGTGGCAGTGTACAGGAGATGGAGGCAGGAGGCCCAGAAGAGCAAGCTCATCCTCGACTGCACGGTGAGTTTGACGCCAGCCTGGGTTACAAGGCCAATAAGCCCTTGCATAGACTGTCCTGCCTCCTTTCAGACACAGGCTGGCCCATTCTTTCCTCCCTCTTGTCCTTTTCCTTCCTGTCTCTACTTCCCCCTGTGCTGCCCTCCCCTCTGTAGCCGAGGCTACTCTTTCTCTCTAGGAGCTTTAAAGTCGCTGCTATTTACCCACACTCCGCATGGTTGGCCTGTCCTCCTTCACAGTGAAGCTGCACGTCACCTTTGCAGAAATCCCTCCTGGGAGCTGGGCATGCGCTAAGCTAGTAGAGTGCTTGCCTGGCGTGCAGAAGGCCCTGAATTCAGTTCCTAGCGCCATGCAGGGTGCTGCGCGCCTGCAAAGCACCTTCCCGTTTGCTCTCCATCGCCTCGTTCTGTTTTCTGGTTTTGTCACAGCATGTGTTCTGTGATGATCTTGTTTCCTGTCTGAGGTAGGGGAGGGGGCTTATACAAGGTCTTGGACTGTTGAGTTCAGGTTAGCCTGGAACTTGCTAGGTAGTTGTTGATTTCCACTCCAGATTCATCCTTCTGTCTCTGCCTCCTGTGCCATCACACAGAGCTCTTTGTGTTCTTTGTTGTTAAATTCCCAGTACCTGGCACATAATAAACGCTCAAAACATTTTTTTTTTTTTTTTGCTTTTTCGAGACAGGGTTTCTCTGTGGCTTTGGAGCCTGTCCTGGAACTAGCTCTGTAGACCAGGCTGGTCTCGAACCTACAGAGATCCACCTGTCTCTGCCTCCCGAGTGCTGGGATTAAAGGCGTGCACCACCATCGCCCGGCTCAAAACATTTTCTTACAAATGATTCAATGATCCCTCTTACAATAAAGAATACAGAACAAATTGTTTGAACATACAGATATTGAGTAAATGTCTAATATTCTTTGTGTAGTTTTGTATTCCAATTCTGGGTATATACGATGCATGTAAATATGCA